CCATGGTCCCCTCCCCCAGCCCACCCTCCCCCACCCCCTACTTACCAGAACAGAGTCCGGATCCAGCTCCCTGCTGCAGCCAGTGGGGACTGCCCAAATTGCCGAAGCTCTCCAACTTTTTCCAAATCGATTGGGACCTTTTAATTGGTCCTCTGATTCGATTCAGAGATTCAGCCACCGAAAACAGGCCAAATCTTCTCCGAATCGAATCAGCACCTGAAGCTTTGCACAGCCCTACTACAAGCACAGTAGGAAGAGACTGTCCCTGCTCTAAGGAATTAACAATGCAAGTTAGACAAATAACATAACAGGCTATGAATGTACTGAAGGAAGGAATGGGGAAACAGTGAATAAAAGGTTATTCTAGGTAATGTATACTTCAAAAGATCATGATGACATCAACTTGTAGTGATTTGGGGTTATCTTCCTTTGTTGATAATTACCTAGTGAGTAGGACTTGGCTGGTTTATTCTGCCACACTTCCTTATCTGCCTGCTTGTGACAGGAACGAAAACAAAGAACAGACAGAATCCTATAAAAATTTCCTCAAAGGTGATTTGAAAAAAGGTAGTTTATCAAAGTTTAGTTACTTTGCTAACATGCAGGAAAGATTAAGGATTCCTTTTTGATGTACCAAGGCATGACACAGTACCTACACATACAAGGGAATCTGCTTTTGTACTTGTTTAGATCAACGATCTTGAAAAATTTGTCATTGTCAAGAGATGAGTTATTGAACTAATTCCATGAGAGAAATGCATCTGAACCCTAGGCTTAAATAACGGCAAGTGCCCTGGAATCCAGCACTACAATTTAAGGCAGCATTTGGAATATCCATTTGGAAATGCCCAAAGGCAGCCCAAGACTTGTTGAAAGCTCTCATAAAACAGTACATTGCATTTCTTGATGTGGTGGTCTCTGTAAACAATTAGAAGGAGTAACTGATACATCCATCATCATTAGTTGAGGAATTTGTAGCCACATGTCTAAATATTAGTCCAAAGAAATATTCATTGGGATACTGAAAAGCAATATATTGGGATTCTTTTGGGGCAAGGGACAAATTAAATGTTAATCTTAACAAAAAATATGATAGAGGATCAAAATCATACCAAAAAAATAATCTTTTTTGTTTTTTACTAGGATTACCTTGGTGTTCCTTGGTGTTTCAGATGTTTTATCCCAAATCTCTCTTAAACGTGTTACTCTACTGATGGACTTTGCTAGTAGACTGCAGCACAAAACAAGCCTTTGCAAAGGAAAAAAGAACACAGTTGTGTTTTTTCTCATATCTAACACAAGAGGATGACTCGTTCTCAAAATCCGAACTAACAGATGCTTCCAAACTGGAGATCTGAGCAGTGTCCAGCAAAGAATTTGAAAAATGAAACATCCTATTCTAATATTAAACAGAGCACAAAGTGTGTACAATAGAGTAGACAGCAGCACCCAAGAATCTCATGTGACAAGTGTTGCTGAAGGGTTATGTTATCTCCTAGCATGAACATTTAACAATTACATGAAAGATAAGGAAGGAAGCCTTGTGGCTAAAGTAATAATCAAAAGGCCTAGATTCATTTTTGACTCCACCACAAATTTCCTATGCGACTTGGATTCATCGCTTAATATCTTTGGCTGCAAAACAGGCATTACCTTCCCTTACCCTACACAGCCATTTCAAGGATATCTTCATTTGTGATTGTGAGTTGTTCAGCTACCACCATGATGAGAATATAAAGAACAATACACACACCAGTATACCAGGTGGCACTACTCAAGACACAGAAGCCCAGCATCAAAATAGTAAAAATAGTACAATGGCCCAGAAATCAAAGTTAAATTACAGACTGCATCCTAATATGGGATGGAGAAAACTGGCTTCCCCAAACAGAGGAAACAAGTCTGCATCATTTCCTCAAAAATAAGGAAAATAATAGGAAGACTTGCCAGCTGGGGCAAAATACAAATATGATAGAGGATCAAAATCATACCAAAAAAAGAATCTTTTTTGTTTTTTACTAGGATTACCTTGGTGTTCCTTGGTGTTTCAGATGTTTTATTTAAGACCACTTAAAGGCCATCTTTGCCAAATTTAAAAGGGTTAGCTATTCTAGAAGCACACTGAAAATGGGACATGGGGAAGCTTCAATGGTGAACTTGTAAGGAAAAAAGTTTTTATAGGAAAGAGGTTGAAATCTTAGTTTAAGGGTGAGATACGGGAAGTCACTCAAGGTTTTAAAACACTAGGGGCATCTGTACACATGCTCTAGGGTGGAGGGAGCTTTAATTACAGCAGGTATGAGAACCACTCTAATTAAACCACTCACAGCGTCACGTGTACTCAGTGCCCTGAACTTCAAACAAGCTTCGACAAGCTTTAGTTAAAGTGCCCCTGCTGCAATTTTGAAATGCGGGGACACTGAACACACATGACATGGAGGCTGCTGGAGCATGCCAATTAGCATGCCAGCAGGCTCACAGCAGAGTCCATTAATCAAGTCTGTTCTGACATGTGAATAGGTACCCTAAGGTTCAAACTTGGAAAATATTGTTTTTTAAATATACTGTTATACATGGTAATTAATTCCATCTTCATTTCATTTAAATTATCTACTGATTTGTCCCTTATACATGCCACCGCACTACCCATTTCTATGGGGCAAAGTTGGGCACTGCAGTGAAAATGGCCTTTTAAAAAAAAAAACAAAAAACAAAAAAAAAACTTTCTTCTATTAATGCTGCACAGATTTAGGATTATTCACTTGTCTCCTTTACAGCAAAAGAATTATCCAGAAGTTTGCAAGATGATATGACCAATATTGTTTCTAAAATAACTTACATAATTAACTTAGATAGTATGCATGATGCTTCCATTATGGTAAAATACTTATATCAGCCTTTGAGATCTTTGGCCTACTCCTCTTCAAGTTACTTTTCCATACAGATCTTACCCTAATAGAGTAAAGCGTTCCATAAACATGGGTATGAAGACTCCACACTTCCTGAAGTGTATACATACAGCTGAAGCATCCTATTTCAGTTGCCAGTATCTTAACTTTTACCATACACTGAAAGCATGACTCTTGGCTTTATGGTTATCTATCAGGAAACACCATGAAAGAGGCTCAGTCCTACTCTTCTTACTCAGGGAACAAGTTATACAAACAATGTAAGCAGGGCATAGCCCTGTGGTTCTCACCCACATCATACTTTTCAGGGCGCCATACAACATTAGCACTATTAAGTGTGCAAACACCTACATATGATTCACAAGATAAACACAGAGATTTCAAATAGGAATCCATAGGATCAAAGTATTTTGGCATGTTTTGGTCTTCCAGAGTTGTTTGCAACAGAAAAAAATCACCCTCTAATCTTCCACAGTCAAAAAATAAGTGAAAGCTAAGAGATGGCATTTTCCAAGGGGTGCCTTGAATCTAAAAAGTTAAGGACTGCATGTATAGCCAAAGGACTTTGCCTCAAGAAGGACAAAAAACCCCCCCACTCATCACATTAGCACATTTAACCTAAGTCCTAGACACCTCACTGAACTATTTATAGGATGGTAAGTTTTTTCATAACACAGTTTGCTTCTTTTGCATATAATAGGAAGGACCATATAAACTGGCTGCTGATGCTTGAATCCTGTCATCCAACACTCAGCACATTAGCAGCTGCCAGCATTTATCTCCACTACGGCTTGCTCCAGTATTATCAGCAACAGAACAGCGCTAGTTGTGAAATAGTCAAAAAAAACAAGAGTTCTACTAACTTGTTCTATGCTTGACCCCTTCCTATATCTGTGGGAATAAATGGCAAATCTTCTCTCTCTCAAAGTGAGAAGAGGACTATGGCTGTTCAATATTATATGCCAACTGGTAGCCCACTGGCTGCATGTAGCCAATAAGGGGTTAAACTGAGGGCACCCCCAGGCTCCCACTCAACCACTGTTCCCCCTGTCATTATTCTGGCTGCAGGTCTCCAGGCTCCCTCTCCTTCAGCCTTCCCAGTCATAGGCAAAATACTTATTGCCAGCTCGCCTCTGGAACAATTACAATCATTTTAGAACTCATGTAAATCCAAATCTACATTTGGGAGTGAAATCCAAAAGAGGGTGAGACAATGTATTTCCCCATGTAATAACTACATATGTATTACAAAAAACCATGTTAATTAAGAAAGTTATTTTAAATGGTGATTTATTTTATGATTTTTCAGAGTATCTTTCCAAACAAGTCTATGTGGCAGATTCCTGTCTTCATTTCTACAATGAGCAAATAGCTATTTTGAATCACTCAATACATGCCTCAAGATGAGGAAGGCAGGAGTAAAACTTTGGCTTTTATTCTTAATGCTAAAAGCAAATCATCCTCCCCAAACATGCAATATACTCAGACATATTGCCTTCAATACTTTGTGTGTGAAAAGAAATGCAATAAAATGTAGGAAGAACATCAGCATAACAAGTGCAACGTTTCCTTTAGTAAAACCGTCAAAAGCAAATGATTCAACTGTCATTTATTTTGAAACCCTTAAAACATGGTTAGGAAATGTTTAGACTAGCCAATGAAATTTTGACAGGCTTTAAACTACCTATACTTTTAAAGAAGAGCAACTGAGTGATCTAGAAGTTATGACCCTTGGGGAGAAGGGAAACAAGCCCTTTTTCTAGTCCAGGAGTGGCCAATTCACAGCACAAGTTTCACAACTGGCATGGGCAGCCTCTGGGTGGCTTGCAGCAGCCTGGGGAGTATGGAAGTATGGAACCATAGCAAGACAGGGCGGTAGAGAGCTGAGCAACAGATCAAGCAAGGGAAGGTAATGAGAGTGGCTCTTGGAGAGGGTGCAGGACTTCCCTTGGGGCACACCTCCAGTAAGGATGTCCCCTACTATTCTAGTTATTCCTCCCACTAGAAAGCATAGACCTGCATAGATTTAAAAGAACACACACCTAACTGCAAGGTAAATGATTCTGTTCACTATAAATTGAAGGCTGTATTGTGCCACATTGATGTAAATAATTTAGAACATGGGGCTTAACCCCTGCACTCATGGACCATATCCAGCCCACAGCCTGTCATTCAGCCTGTGGGGCTCCCATGGGTCTGGAAATTTGATGGTAGAAGAGCAGTGGCACCACTGTCCCACCACCACATTTCTGGACCCTCCACACTGATTCAGGCACCTGATCCCAGTGCACAGGGCCAGGCAGGGTCAGCACCCACCTCCAGGGCCCAATCTCCAACACACAGGGGGCCAGGAGGAGTCAGTGCCAAGCCCCTAGGGACCAAACCCGGCACACCGGGGCAGTACTGAGCCGCAGGGTCCACTCAGAGCTGAAGGCAGAGAGAGAGAGTGGTACTAGGTCCCAGGATGCCATCCTGGTGTGCGGAGCTCAATCTGGCCTCATCCTACTCATCTGGCCTGCAGGGCCAAAAATTTGAGCACCACTGGTCTACATGTCTAATGAATTGTGTTATGAATTTCCCCGTCTACATTTCAATGTTGAAAATGATTGCAGAAAACATTTAAATATCAATTCTGCCTATAACAAGATATTTGAACTTTGCTATTAATGGTTATCTATACAGGTTTCCCTTGCTTTATGCGGGTTCTGTATGTGTGAATTTGCTCTTATGCGATGACCCTTTTCATACCAAAAATGTGTTATATGCAAGGTAAATTCACTCTTATGTGATCGGTATGGTGGAAGCCAGCAGTCAACTGCTTTCTGCGGTGCATTGTGGGAGTGATGAGCACCAACATATAATCTCCTGTGTGGATCTGTGCTCCTTGCTTGTTGTCTGTAACACGTTTCTGTAGTTGCCACCACCGTTATGATAGTGCCCTGTGCTTGTGTGTACTGTCTGCTGTTGGCGAGTACCAAAATTGTGTTGTAAAAGTGGTAGAAATGGGTCTGGGGGTCAGTACAGTTGAGGTCTTGGAACATACCCCTATTTGTTACGTTGTAAAGTGGGTTCCCTTTATGCAAATGTGAGTTATGCACCGTTTTCCAGGAACGCATGTTCAGCAAAATGCAAGGGAAACCTGTAATCATTTTAGATGCATCTTTCAACTATTAACCTAGTAATGCCCACAACATAACTACCACTGATTAATTAGTCACTGGCTGATAGTACAGAGTGCTAGTCAGACAAAATCCTGCAGACTGGGTACTCTTTGCATTGAAACTCTAGCAAGGTAAAGCTTTCCTAGAAGTAATGAATGGGAGGCGATTTTACTTTCCATTCATTGAATAAGGACTTCAGAATACACACCGGATGGGATGCATCGTATTTGAGCACCAAGAATTACCACTGGAGAGAGCATAAGCCTAGTAGAAGCTATGAAAATTTTATCTTGAAGAGCAAGGAGAGGAAACAAAATATGGTGTCTGGACAATACTGGGAAGTGGTTGTAGTTATTTTCTTCAGAAGTGTTGGT